TGGTTCCTTTATTAAAATATAATTCGCGTTCGAGGTTCAGTTACCCAGACTCGCTGGTCAATACTGTGTTTTAGCATCTTGGCTGCAAGATATTTTAGCTGCGATCTGAGCTTTTCTTGCTTTGACATTGAAAGACTGACCCATTTGCAAAACATAGCTGTTCAAGATGCCATATTATTGGCACCTGTTGGCTTGTCTGGGATGATCTGACAAACACGAACCGGTCAGGAAGGGATTTGTGCTGAAAAGGTCAATGCCGTAGTTTTCCGTTTTAAACAGAAGATCCACGCCCTTTTTCATATCGCAATGTTTGACATGGTCTTGAAATGTTCTTTCCTCGTGGGTCCTCTCCTCGCATGTAGCTGTGAATCGACAGGAGGGTGGAGAGTAAGGGCTCATTGGAGATGGCTACAGCAGGGTTTGAACTCGTGACCTTTCTCCCACTACCTGTGAATCCCCATTGCATGTGTGTGTGTGTGTGGGGGGCTTCGTTTATCCAGCTGTAGGGGTTTGTGAGGTGGGGGGGAGGAGGGAGGACAGATGGGACCCCCCACCCCCGAGAATTTTTTTTTCTTCTTTTTTCCACATTCACACCACCACAGGAGATTAAAAAAAAAACAAGTATGTGAGAGCCGGCTGAGTTTTGCCATTCGATTTGCACAAATAGCCCTTTCTAGTCTTTAACTCTGAGTTGATACAGGTGCAGAGAAGGGAAACGGAGGAGATGTAGGTCAGGACATCTCGCACAGAGATGGGACTGGAGTGTGTGCCGCCGAAGAAAATGCTATCTACTCGAATATAGTTCGATCTAATCCGATCGTCTCCTAAGGTCGATGGAAATCGAAAGGTTTAAAAATGATAGTGCCTTTATTAGGGCAAGCAACCGACTGTCATTTCTGTCTGAGAATCATTTTTAGCATTCTGAAAACTGTCCTGCATTTTAAATTAATTTGTATCGCACTGGCATTCATATACTGACTTAAAAAAAAAACATAGGATTTGTAACCTTAGACCGCAGCATATCTTAAGGATCAATGTTTGTATTTGCTTTAGAATTTTTTACAGAAAAGTTCAAATAAATGTAAGTTTATCAACATGATGAATATTATTCTAGCAAAGATTTGTCATCTCTGCTAACAGTTCTTGTGCCTGGCAAAAATAATGTCTGCATGTGATAACAGAGGTGCAACGGTTTAACTATTCAGTTAATTTCATCACAGTTGTGAGCTGTAAGTAGAGACAGAAACACTGGCATTACTTCTCCAAAGAACACACTGGCCCCACACTGAGAGATTAAGTCAGGGTGAAGAGTTCTTCTGCCATCAGTCTCCCTTCTCCCAAGCTAATAATGCTCTCAGCACCACTTGTTTTCATAATCTCTGAACTGTGGAAAAATAATAGAGAAGGGGCAAAACTAGGGTTGATGTCCTAGTGACAGGCAAGCTGGGAAAATGCAGCCAGAATCTGTCAGTCATGAGTCTAGAGGGAGTTTAATAGCACTGAATTGAACTGAAAACAGCCAGGGTTGAGGTTACAGCATCCCCGCGCATGAGATTCTGCTGGTGGAGGGGTCACCACAAAGCATTCCTACTCCAGGGGTCCAGTCCCACAGGCCGGCAGTATTTCTGTCCTGGTTAAAGTTACTCCACATGACCGGTTCACCCCAACTAGCGAGCTTCTGCTGGCAAGATGAGCTTTCGTTTCGAATTCTTAGTGGACAGCAGGCTCGTTTTTAAACACGCCGGTGGCACGTCTTTGAAGGCTGCGCTGGCAGCGTTTCTCCGTACCGTGCCTGCTGTGTCTCTGGCTGTCGCTGCCGGAGTGATAGAGCTCCCCTTCTCGATCCGTGTGAGACCCGAGCCCTGGCGAGAGTCTAGCGCTGTCGGAAGCGAGAGTAGTATTTCCACAGGAGAAAAGAAATGGCTGGTGTACACAAAGCAAGGCAGTTTCTCTCTTTCGGCTGAGTCTTCCCCAGCAGACATTAAGAGTAAAGGCTCGGGTAAGCACCGGGAACTTGGTGACAGGCCATTTTGATGAAGGGCAGAGGTGCTTGTCCACACAGCCGAAAGCACAGCCTCACGCAGACTGACAAGACTGACCATTGCCCACCCCTTCCATACCCATTACTTCTGAGTTTCTCCAGGGGAACCCACAAGCAGTGCCACATGGGTTAGCAGCCTATGGCATAATGTCACAGATGGCCATAAAGATCTCAGCTCCTGCTGCTGCGGTCTGGCGTTGAGGCTTTCAGAACCGCTCTGGCAGGCCCTTCTCAGTTGGTCTCTAAAGCAAAAAAAAAAATCCGGCCTTCAGATGCACGCTGGGACTACATTCTAAAGGAGAGCGCAGTGTTCTGAAGCCAATCTGTTATTGTGTTTCCCCTCTCTCTTCCTCCGTTTGCAGTTTGACGTTTTATCAAGGGTGGGTATTCAAGTGTTTGCATTAGGCTTGTGTCTCCTGCCTCTCATTCTGGCAACAGGAAAATAGCCAAATGAATGAAACAGCTTGGAACTTGGTTAAAAGCAGTAAGTGAAGCCATTATGGCAACCGCAAGGACCCCAAAAGCCCAAACTATACATTTTATTTTCCGGTGCTGTGTGAAAGGACCCTTAAAATGAATTTGGGGTCAGCCCGAGATCTTTGAGACGTGAGGAAGACTGGTATATAACATTTCCAGGATTACGTTTGTCATATGCCAAGGGGATTCATCCAGGCTGTGTGGTTTCTAAGAAAACATTTCTCCTAATAGCAGGTGTCTTTTCTCTCTGGCTTTTCACGGGCTGGCGGAGAAGACCGATTGCAAGTTTCTCATTGAATCTGAAAAAGAAAACAGTGGTGTCTGGCCTCTTCGTTTCTGTTTACTTGTCTTGGGCTGCCGGTCTAGCTGGAGGGAAGCAGACCCTCTGAGAGGTAGAAATAAATAGTGCTGAGAAAGGAGGGCTATAGCACACCATATATGGCAGTACAATGGCAGTAGATGTTTCCCTGTTCTGTTTCACCTTATTTTGTCTCCTCAGTCCCCTTCTCTCTCACAACAGCCACACATTAACACAGTGCTGATGGAAGCTTTGGGAATGCTAATTAGCTGCTAATTATGTCAGCAGGGACCCTAGCCAGCCTGTATCTCTTGCTCCTCTGTTCTGGCCAGGCTTTAATGAAATACTCTCGAAATGCCTCGCTAGCACGCCTGCTTTATTATTCCGGGACACCCCGAGCTACTTGATCAACGCCGTGCTCCGTCGCCAAGGCCCCCCAAACTCAAGAGGAGAAAGAGGGAGGGTGTCAGGGGGTGGTGTTATCCGGACGAATGGACGCTTTCTTCTTCGCTTGACAGTTGCTGTGTGAGGACCAATAAAAAATGAGCTCTGCTTCTGCTTTTGAAGTCACAGGCCTTCGTCTGATGGCCTTGGATGGAAGGAGACGCAAACAGGCTTTTTGTTCCGATCGGGTTGCAGAAAGGATGCCACAAAGCCTCTCTTTCTGGAGCCAAATGAAACGATCCCAAGAGTGGGTGTACCTTTTCAAGGCACAGCTCTTACGGAGACTGGGCTCTTCTGAGCTGCTGTCCAGGAAGGTGATCAAAAGAAATTCCTGATTTGTGATTTCTGCATCTTGCCTGCAGGACATAAAGGTTATGATGAAGCATCGCCAGATTCTAATTAGGTTCTTCGCCAGTGTGTACATACTGCTAGGTGGTTTTTAAACATGTTATTTTATTTCTCGATATGCTTAACCTGATGAGGCCTAACACTGGAGAGCGCAACCCAATAGGAAATGCATAAAAGCCGAAGGGCAAAACATTTGCAAAAAAACTGAACCGACCTGTTTTGACAAATGAACAAAAATGTTTCACAATGAAGTTGGCTTTTTTTATTTCATTTTTTTCTAGAAGTATTTTAAAACTACGAATCGGAGAATTTACCTGAATGTAACGCTTGCTGTGCCAATAACCTTAAAGACCTAATGTTTGGTCTGTACAGGATAAATGCAGTTCTATAATCATGTGACACATTTGTAAACTTCATTTTTGAACAAAGCAAATCCAGAGTTGTCTGTCCCCACTTAGGCAGCAGATGCATAAGCTGGAGATACTACTTTGAGGCAGGTGGTTGTTTTCAGATCACCAAGTCTGGGCTTTGCAAAAGGTCAAAATGCTGATTTTAAATGTATCAAAATTACACTACTCTGTAATGAATTCAAACAGCATCCTTTTATTTTAACATACAAGCTAACAAACTCCTCCCTGATCCACTAAGAGATGGGCTTAAACAAATGTGACCCACAGATGAAAGTGAGTTTTAAACACTGTCCTCTCTGCAAGTATTAGAGCAGTGCTTTGGTGGCAAGAAGCACGATAGACTGTTGTGCATTGCCATCGGCCTTCTCTTGTAATGTCTTGAGATTGCTGCGCTGTAGAAGGACGCCTCCTTAAAGGCCATCATTGAAATTCACAACACGGGCCCCAGCAGCCACTCACATCTCTTTCTATCAGCGGCACTTCTGGCTGTTAAACTTCCGACAGTAAGTGGAGGAAACACCCGATTAGGCAAGAACAGGGAGAGCTATCGACGCCCAAGAGCCCGCAGCTCCAACCTGAAACGATGACTTTGCAGGGGCCGAGCCTGGGTTGTGCTCTTCCACCTTTGGCTTGATTGAGGGCAGTCGCAGCAGCGGCTGAGAACATTTTCCAATGAGGTCACAATTATTAAGCTCCTCATAAGCCGAGTCTCGAACAAGGGACAGAAACCTCTCCGGTTTTTGAAACCCCGTTTTGTTTTGATCCGCGCAGACGTGTTGGGCTGCGGAACAAAGGGGGCTGAATGACGGCTCGTTTTTGTTCTTTTTAATCGTGACGCTTCCATCTTGTCCTAAGCAACTTAGGTCGTAAACGTACCTATCATCTCGGCCGATGAGACGCACGACGTTACCGTATTAGCTCCTGGTCATTTCTTCACGAGGCGGGAATCACATCTTTGTCTTCCCTTTCCCATCTCCAACAGGCTCGTTCACAAGAATTACCCTGAAGGAGAACTGCAAGCCCTACCCCCCTGACCCCCACAGTCCGGGATGAGCGGAGTCTGGAGGTGGTTGCTGAGCGCCTGCCTGCTCGGGACCACGACCCACGGCAGCAACCCCTTTGCGGGACAGCAGACCCCGCCAGACCCCTGCTACGACGACAACGGGGCAGCCCGCCGCTGCATCCCCGAGTTTATCAATGCAGCGTTCGGCAAGGAGGTCCAGGTGTCCAGCACCTGCGGCCGTCCCCCGTCCCGTTCCTGCAGCGTGCTGGAGCGCGAGGATCGCCCGTCCGTCCGCACCTGCCAGATCTGCGACGCCTCGGACCCCCGCCGGGCCCACCCGGCCTCCTTCCTCACCGACCTGAACTCGGCGCACAACGTCACCTGCTGGCAGTCGGAAAACCTGCACTCCTCGCCCCACAACGTCACCCTCACCCTCTCCCTGGGGAAGAAGTTCGAGATCACCTACGTCAGCCTGCAGTTCTGCTCCCCGCGGCCCGAGTCCCTCGCCATCTACAAGAGCATGGACTACGGCAAGAGCTGGACCCCCTACCAGTTCTACTCCTCCCAGTGCCGCCGCATGTACAACCGGCCCAACAAGGCCGTGATCACCAAGCAGAACGAACAGGAGGCCCTCTGCACGGACGGGCACACCGACCTCTACCCGCTCTCGGGGGGGCTCATTGCCTTCAGCACCCTGGACGGCCGCCCCTCGGGCAAGGACTTCGACAACAGCCCCGTGCTTCAGGACTGGGTGACGGTGACGGACATCCGCGTGGTCTTCAGCCGGCCCCAGCTGCCCCGCGAGCTGGGCGGCGACCGGGGGGAGGACTCGGCGGCGTACTACTACGCGGTGGGGGACTTCCAGGTGGGCGGGAGGTGCAAGTGCAACGGGCACGCCTCGCGGTGCCTCAAGGACAAGGAGGGGAAGCTGGTGTGCGACTGCAAGCACAACACCGAGGGGCCCGAATGCGACCGCTGCAAGCCCTTCCACTACGACCGGCCCTGGCAGAGGGCCAGCGCCCGCGAGGCCAACGAGTGTCTCCGTGAGTACGGCTTTTTGGGGGGCTTTGGTTCATAAGGTTTGGGTGTCCTCCGGCTGCCCAAAGTCCCAAGAAAATTGGCCCTGGTGTGAGCAAGTGTTTGTGTCCGTGTCTGTCTGCCCTGTGATGGACTGGTGTCCCTTCCAGGGTGTATCCACCTTATGCCCATTGCATGCTGGGATAGGCTTTGGCTGCCCCGCCACCCTGTATTGGATAAAGCCCTTAGAAAATGCTTAGAAGAGGGATGGATGACTGCTCTTCAGTTTCAGTAAACCCCAGAGGTGGCGAATAGATCTAAACCTGCCACTCTCTTTATCTCCACAAAACCCTAAAGCTGCACTTGGTGTCCTTGACGGGATACCCCTTTTGAAGATATGTATGACGCATCTGGTTCCGTCTCGCAAGGAGTTAGGCAAACTCGGTCTGCTGCAGCAACAGAAAAGCGGGTTGAAAAGCCGAGCAAATCTCTCAACTCGAGACCTCCTGCCATCACAGCTAATGCTAAAGAAAAGCAAAAGTCAGGATCTGATGTTGTGAAACTTAAGCGAGCTTGTTCATTGTTTTGACTTCCCCAGATTTCATTGATTACTTTAACCAGTCAAGGAGAAATCCGTTTCCCCACGTTATGCCAAATGGAATGGGAGTTTTCAAAGGGCCATTTAGTTTGTGAGAAGAAAGAAGCAGTTTGAGTTGAATCCCTTCAGGGCACCTGGAGGTAAAATGCAGTGTTTTCCATCTCATTCACCTGTTGATGAGCACTGATGCTCTCATTTACAAAGCTGACTATAAACGTGGGAATCAAGCAGGATACCCTCAGTTCATCTCAGCATTTCAGTGTTATCAGGAGCCGGTACCTTTATTTGCTCATTTATTTTTTGCAGTTAGGTTATAGAGGCAGATCAGTCGTAGAACACTCCAAGATCTCAAACTACTAGCGCAGTGGTGGGCAGCCCTGGAGAGCCACAGTCCAGCAGGTCTTTGCAGCACAATTTGTAACCCATGAATTTAGCTTGATTTAGGAAAATTAATTGGTCACTAATTTTCCAGGAACAGCCAACTGTGGTCATTAAGAGTCACAGGCTGGTGGTGTTCTCATTTCAAATGATCTCTAAGCTGTTTAACAGAACACATCGGCAGTCTATGTGGTCGAAACGATCTCTTTCCAAGGCTTTAGAAATGGATGCTGTAAGGGTGTCCTATAAAAACCACTGGATTGGAGCTGTTCAGGACCAGGACTGGCCACCCCTGTGCTAGTGGATCATATCCAGTCTTTAACTTGACAAAACACAAAGTTGGTTATCTACCCTAAAGTACAGCTTCACTGGCATTAATGCCCAGTGCTGTTCTGCTTAAGTGTTTAAGCAGGAGCTAGGTCTCTGGCAGCTCCTTGCACCCCAAACTCTTCGGAAAGAGCAGGACTGGATTCCAGGGGGAAACGACATGCCCGATTTTCGCTTTCATTTTTTATTGAACTGTGAAAATAACAGTAATGGACACTGACAGGAAAAAAGGGGGAGGCTGGTGGCTGGGGGTCATTGTGGGGGGTTGCATCTTATGGTACGTGTGAACGCAAACAGTCAGTGCCCATGTCTGTCAGTTCTTTCTTGAGCATTTTTCTTTGTTTTACAGCCACCTTCAGACCTCACCCTTGGCTTGAGTTGACTGAAGGAATTATTCTCCGCCTCTGACAGGCACTTAAATGAGTCTCAGAATTAATAATGAGGGATTTAAGCCGGGTTCAGCTCGGGCATGACGCGCGGAACGCGGTATAATTGTGAGCCTTATCCCTCCCTGCTAACGTAGCATACTCTGAGGCTGTTTCTTATTCCTCTGTTGACAGTGGGGTAAAAACCCTGCGCTCCTATTCCCAGAATGTCTTTATCACAACTGGAAAAATAGCCGTCGCTTATATGGAGAGGCTATTGGGAAAAACAAACGCCTTCCCATGTCTGAAATGTGAGGTGAAAATTGACACTGATGTACTCACACCCATATCCAGATATTAGCACAAACCAGCGGAGACTTTGGGAATGTACTATTCATAATAATTTAAAAATGCAGTTTTTCTGTCACGCGACAGTTCTCCCGTCTTTTGCTCAATTCGCGAGTTTTAAACAGAGCTCAATTTTCTTATTATGAGCAACCCAAGAATCCTGGCTCCCCTCTCTGGATTTTCATAATTATTTAGTCATCCAAATGCTCTTTTTTTTTGTTATTTTGGTAGGCGCTGGATGTTACAAAGCAAAGTGTTACAGGGCTCGGAAAAAATTGTGACAAGACGGGAGAAAGACCAGAAGAAAAATAAAATAAAGTAATTCAGGCGAATATTCTAATCGCTGAATTCCTTGACAAGAAAAAAAAAAGAGGGTCTAAATTTTCCATTCACCGGTGCTTTTGGGATGAAGCTTGGCCCAACACAGGTTGGCAGAGTGCGAGTTTTGAAGTGAGCAATGCCAAATCATTTAGCGAGAAGGATTAGAGGGTGGAAAGGTCAGGGAGGAGTCTGGGGAAGGCTTGAATATTTATTTAAATTGGCCCCTGAATGCCTTTGTTGAAAAGAGAGGTCTCGGCGAAAAAAAAAAAAAAAACCCTTGGAAGAAAAGAAAAGAAAAACACAAGGATCTTTTTGTACGGGGATGAAAAAGGGAGGAAGGGGATTACAGAGCGACAGTTTCTCCCCGACGTCCGTGCTTAACTCCTTCTGTTCTGCTGGCTCTCAGCTGGGATCGCTGGGAGTGCCTGTCGGCAGTGCTCTACAGAGGGAGGCAAATGCACTTGTCCACAGTTTAATGACTCCTGTTTTTCTCAGGCTGCATTACCATAATGGGACATACTTGGGCCTTCTGTGAGCAGTTACTGGAATTGCTGCGAACTCCCTTTCCTTCGGCTGCAGTTGACTTTTCTGTCGTTGATGTAAGCGGCAAAGTGAGCCGATACCATGCAAGACAAATGAGTGACGTTAAGGGGTTTCGGGGCTGGCAGATCATTTATGCTAACGGGTAGGCATTTTGAAATATTACTATATTCTGGGCTCCCTGCACAAATAAACATCCCAGATGAGCAAGCCTAAACAGTGAATGACACAAGTTTTAGTCACTGGCACTGCGCGTCCACTTAGTCATCCAAGAATGTCATTTTGGCTGCGCTTGGTTTTAACCTCAAGACAAGGAGTAATATTCCAGACAGCCTCTGAGTCCTTGCCAGAAGAAATTATAGCAGTTCTGTAACCCTTATTAATGTTAAAGGCTTGCATTTCTGTAACGCCATGTAAAGTGTACCAAGAAAGAAAATAGTCATTTTGCCTGTGTCATTACACATAGCTGTTTTACAGACCCCTCAATCTCGGTATAGGACATTAATTTGTCATTAGTCTGACAGAACCTTCATTGCCCATTAATTAAATAGTGTCAGCTTAATTGGTCTGGAATAACTATTGGTAGAAGATAATTGGTTACAGATTGTGCAGATTCTTTAAGGGAAGTGTAGTTATAAGGTGTTAATATGAATAAATACAGAATCGGGTCAAAGGTTTGGAATAAAAAGACTATACACAGAGAGGTTGGGTGGTGGGAGAACAATAGTTTCTATTCTGTTTTGCTGTAGTCGACTAGAATTACTGTCTTTGCATTCCTGAAGTGCTAACACCTTTCTCTTTTTTAATAGACTGTAATAGTCATTGACAAGGCTAAGTGATAGTGTTGTGTGTATTCCTTTCACTCACTACCTGGAGTAGAGTGTAATGGTAGCAGTTTACCCAGGGAAAGAATATATGTATATACTGTTTAGACCTTCTATGATAACCAAACTGGCATCACACTCACCTTTCCCATTAGTACAGCTGTCCTTGTGCCATACTGGCTGTGGTCACACTTAGACTCAGTGTCCGTAGCTTGCTGTGAAAGAGGAGCGTGAATTCAGGGATGTGTAGACATTGGTGGATCTACAGTAAGCACCACACAGTGAAAAAGAAAACTATACAATACTGTTCTTTTCCCCTAGCCTGTCCATACATGGAAATGACAGATTTCCTCCACTTCATCTCACTACAATAAATCAAAAATGTATAATACCAAACTCCAATAGAATAAAGATTCAGAACCTGTTTGATTTCAACCCCCACTTCACTACTGTTGGGTAACTAGAAGTTTGACTGTGTGTTGCAGGTTTTAAATTTGGTGTGATTGGGTAATTCCCTTTTTCCTACTGTCTCAGCAAACCATCTTCCAGAAACTGCTGTCCTAAATTATATTGCTTGGAAAACAGCAGGACGTTCTCAGAATCTGTATATTTTATTGGGGAAAAATCAGTTGGAGCTAAAAACACTGAGATCACTTTCTGAAGACACCCCATCCAGACATAAGTGAAATTTCTCTAGACAAAGATAGGATAGATTTTATAAGATCCACTTATAAAATACAGAAAACTATTAGTTCACACCAGTACTGTCACGATTTTATTTGACCTACCATGGCCAGTTTGTAACAATGTTTTTATTTATGTCTAGTATAATAAATTAATAAAAATACATTTTAGAGCGGTCAAAGCTGAATAATGCTTAAGCCTGCTTATTATTTTACTGACAAAGTATATTCCTGCTGTTATTGAAGCAGGATCTGTAATGATAGCTGCTTGTCTGCAAATTAGTTTAATACATTTAGCATTCCATGAATATGGTTGTAATTTCCGTACGTCTTCAATAATTTGTAGTTGGAATCCATTTGGTAGTTTTCTAATAGTTTCTTTCACTGACATGGAATCCCGAATGAGGCTATTTAAAAAAAAACGAATTAAAAAAACACTTCCTAATTCGTTTCCTTTGATATTTTTCCTATTCTGTTTTCCATTGCTGCGGAAAATGGCTTTTTAAAAAGTTCCCTTAATTTGCTGGTGTGGATTTGGTTACTTCTTGTTTTCCTTCGAGATCGGGAGCAGATTGCTGTGACGGTCAGAGTTTGGTTTATGAACTGAGTCGCAGCTGTGGTTTTTGGATGCGGAAGCCGATT